GCGTGCGAGACGATTCATAATGACTCTCGAAAACAGCACGTAGACGCGGCTCAGAAGGGAAACCTGTCTGTAGTTCTTCAAGAGAGCGTTGTCGCCTTTCTTAAAGAACAAGACCACCGCACTTCTGCTCCACGCCTCCGGAGTAGGGCCACCATGGAGGAAGGATTGAAGAGCTTCGGAAGGACTTCAAGTACCGGTGTTCCACCCGCTTTCAGAAGCTCCGCTGTAATTCCATCCTCGCCTGGGGCCCTGCCGTTTTTAAGGTGCTGGAGAGCCATACTAATCTCGCTCAGACTGACGTCCGGGATATCATCGGAATAGTGTCGGGTAAGACTTGCTCTTGGATCGTTACTCACACTTGCGTGTGGCTCAGACGATGATGTGTACAGCTGCCCATAGAACCTCTCAATCTCACTCAAAATCTCGGGTGTCCCGGAAACGATGCTGCCACACTCAGTCTTCAGCTTTGACAGTTGGCTCTTTCTGGCAGACAGATCTCTGGCAAAGACTTTGGAGCCCTGGTTCCGCTCGATCGCTTCTTTAATACGAGCAGTATTAAAGTTGCGTAAGTCTCGCCTTACTTAATCCCTTCAAATTGAAGATTATCTACCCCGGTAAGAGGTTACCAAAATATTTTACGCAAAATACGTATTTATTTTTTAAAAACAGTACTCTAAGTAAGTATTGAATCAATCGCCTTAAAATATTTTTGTAATAAAATAATAGACTGTAACGCCCTTATTTCACCCTCTTAAGGATCGAATTTTCCAAAATGATTTCACAGCGGATTTCTACGTCTTATAAAGCTACCTGCTGACCAAATTTTAGATTTCTACTTAAAGCTGTTTAGGTTGAGCTTGCTTGTGCACTGGTATCTCTGACTCAGTATATAAAGAGTATATTATAGTAGATACACAGTGAACAGTGACTTTTTTCGATAAATGGCAAAACTAACTTTACGGCAAATAAAGTTTTATTCTCTTGAGGCAATCTTTGGAGAGACCAATGTTCAGCAGCGGACTTTAAATGCTGTAACGTTTATTTGATAAAAGGAAGAAACTTAGATTTGATGGTCCAATACAAACATTGCGTTGAAAGCTGCAAGCAAAGTAATTATTTACATATTATGTATTATGAATATATTGCTTCATATCTCATTTATAATTAAACCTTATGGTGCTTAAAAATGCTTGTAGCGTCATCTATATAAAATTACAGTAGTTAATTTATTATTACAGTAAAATAAAAATTGTATGATATTTAGAAAAGAACGGGTAGGAATAATTAAAATTAATAATATAAAAAAAAAAAACAAAAACAGGTAACGCAATTTTTCAATTTCACGACAATGTAAATTTTAAAACTTTTGGAAAGTAGAGAAGTAGGAAAGTAAGAAGTATAATAATATGTTTATTGCCAAGCTTCTATGATCCTTGCCGAACTCAAAGAAATTGTTAACAGCTCTTTCAAAATTTGATTTACCATGTTGTAGGTACCTATTCGGGTACTCGGCGGTTAAGAAAAAAAATTATACGCATACCTTCATAAAATTTAATAAATAATTTGCACAACACCATTTACCAATGACATTGGTTAACTATTGTACTTTTTTAACAAAAACATAAGAATTTACATATTTTTATAAATATTTATTACGTTATTCTTTATTATTTTTGTTTACTGAGTTTGGGTAGAATTATATCATTATAGAACACTATTTTACATTATTTAATTACAAAAATGTCCTTGATCACTCAACGCCGACATAGAACCAGTTCGTACCCATACTACGTTCCCATACTTCAGAGTATAAATCATAACTTTTGATAGGATGAACCAATTTTAATGAAACAAAGACTAAATTTAAAACAAAGTTACACTTCACAATTTTCATAACGATTATTTTGATATAAATCAGTATGTACTTTATAAATGATACGTTAACAAACAAACGGACAGAACGACAGACACACAATTCTAAAAATTATAGAAATGTATACAGTTACTTCTTTTTAGTCCCTCTTAATCAATTTTGTTACAAAAATTTAAAATGTACTAAATGTGATGTATGTAATGAATCTCAAATTTACATTTTCATTATATGTATAGATAAGCTTTTATTGATTATTGTCCTTTAAACAAAACAAGCTTCGTATGAAGGTTTCTAATTTTTTGCTAGGGTTCAAATGCAATGGAGGGTTTACTATTTCAACTGGCTTTTGACCACTAGTCGTAATCGTAAGTAATCTGAAATCAAGCGATTTTTATGAATAGGTTTCATAACATCCCTTGATCGAACGGCTTGATAATGAATTAATGTACCAAGATTATAACGAATGTAATTTATTTTAATACTGTAGAATACATTGCAAAATACTGTATTGCGTCGAGGGAAATTAATATTATTTTTATTTAATACTGTTTACTGATATGAATGCTTAAATAATTTTCAATTTCCATAAATATTTCCTCATCAAACTGATGGAGAAAAATGATGGGATACAGGTTTTCTAAAATAAGTTAATTATCTTTAAAACATTAATTAATACAAAATAGGCGTAGAAAGATGCTTTTTGCAGAAAATTGAATTTAAAGTTCTTGGTATTCTAAACTTTGAACGAGATTCAAGTTTTGATATTGATTATTAAAAGTTTAATCGCGTTCAGAGTCTAAGAGAAGCCTGTCCCAGTCATTTAATAAAATGCACAAAATAATGTTTGCAACTAACACGGTAATTGTACTAAATATTTGTAAAAACACTAAACATATATCATCATCATCTTCATCATTACAGTCCTTCACAAGTCCACTGCTGAACATAGGCCTCCCCCAAGGTATGCCACAAAGCACGGTCCTGAGCCACCTGCATCCATCGACTTCCTGCCTGTCTTAACAGGTCGTCACTCCATCTAGTGGGGAGCCGCCCTACACTTCGCCTACTGGTACGAAGCTGCCACTCAAAAACCTTTTTTCCCCAACGGTTGTCGGTTCTTCGAGCTATATGGCCGGCCCATTGCCACTTCAGCTTACTAATCCGTTGGGTTATGTCGGTCACTCTGGTTCTACTGCGGATATCCTCATTTCTAAGTTTATGACGAAAGAGAAACTCCGAGCATTGCCCTCTCCATAGCTCGCTGAGCGACCAGCAGTGAACGACCATGTCTCCGTTCCGTGGGTCATCACTGGCAACACGAAAACATATATAAATATTAAAAATAAAACAGCTTATAAAACCTGAATTGAAACTCAATATGTCATTAACTGAATATTTACCAGAATAGGTACAGCATTAGGTAATAGCAGAGTAAGTTTCTTATTTTTTATTAACATTTTATCCTTAAAATGCCTGCTGTAAATTTTTGATGACGGTTTTGGTGTCCAATTTGTTCGTCCGTTAGCAACAATCCAATTCCAACGTAAATTATCATGTTCAGGAAAACTGTAACAAGCCATTAAATCTTTCAGATATTTAATTAATAGACACTGCAGAATACTTATTATTAGTTCCTATAATAGTGGGTAATAATTTATAGAAATGTTGGCAACTCCAAAGATTTTAGGTTAAAATTTACAATTGTTATTTTTGTGCTTTTTAAAGATAAATTTACGTCTAGAGTTACACAATAAGTTAATTTTAAAAAATGTTACAGAATGCCTAGTAACTGATAAAAAGTGGTATACTTACGAATGAAAAGACGACCCTGGCATTTTTGTTCCACTATCACTTTTACACCCTATAACACTACACCGCATTATGTTTTTTTTAAATGGTTGGGATACCAAGTCTATAAATGTTTCCCAACAAAATATAACATGAATTACTTAACATTAAGCACGTAAAACTGTATTTTATAAAAAGACGATATCTGGCTGCACGTTAGCTGTCAAACTTTGTTTAGCAAAGTGGTGTGCTAACCTTGAAAAACGTGGTACGCTCAGCGAAACAAAAAATCTCATCGTTCTATTTCATTTCTTTGCACGACATCGGCGTAAGTTGCTCTTTCTCTTGTGTGACTGCGACAAAAGATATCAATTTGTCTATAGCATTCTCTACGCTATGGCTACTCCTATCCCTCCTGCGTGCTCCATGTGTAAAACATATTTAAATAGAACATTATTTATCGGCGGATTGTTTTTTATTAACTGGCAGCACTAGTTAAGTTATGTTCTTACTACCTAATGCAGGATTTATTAGTACCTAGTAATAATAAGAATTAAAAGTCTAAAAATATTTAAAGAGTAAAAAATACATAAAAGTTTACTTACGAGTGAAATGATATATCATATTATTTTCTTTCAGATTGAAATGCTACATCCACCCATTAGAAATATACTTTTAACTTCTATTTCTAACAAGGTTTCTTAACAATAAACACACTAAAACTTTAAATAACTCACGAAAACAGGAACTATTTTTTAAGATCTTTTGTTTGGCTCATTTTGGGTATATGATATCATAGTATATCATAGTGTGTACATAAGAATACGTGTCACGAAGCGAACCACTACACAAACATAAATAAATAAAATATTTCAAATTGGTATACTTGTTTTAATTTTTAAGTATTTATTGTACCACAATAGTGCGTTATCGACTAAGTTTATGTTATTAGATGTCCGTTATGAACAACGATGCAAGCCGCTGCGTCAGAAATAACGTTAGGATGGAAATCCCTATTGCGTCTTGTCGTACGATGGCGCAAATATTTTATTGGGGAATAAAAAAATACACAATTTGTGCGCATTGTCATCAATAAAAGCCTGTTTAAATGTCAATTTTTATGAATTCCTGAAGGCAACCAGTCAGCATATTATTTTTAAATATAACTTATTTAATGACTGGATTTAATATGTACCTTATAATTATTGAATTCTCTAGCAGTCAAGAAAAAAATTGGGTAGGTGCAAATATCGAATACATGTAACAAAAATTAAAAATTAAAAGTCTGTAAATTAAGACATTATAATGATTAGTTGATTATGAGAAATGTACATAGAAATTACTCTCTTGCATTTGAAGAAGCGTTCGACGAAGCGGACGAAGGTGGCATGTTTTCTTGGTTTTGATTCATTTGGCGCATACGTTTGTAATGTTGACGGTTTCTATACAATTTTGCTTCATCAGTACACTTCGTAGTAATGCAGCTCCTGTAAAAAAATCGATGATGTAGGATGTATGGTTGTTGATATTGACAAAGATTATTTTGTGATGATGATAATGTCCTCATGGCCAATTTTTGACCACGCCAACTTCCAAATTCCAAATTCCTCGGAAGCTATCGTCTCCACAAGAGACATTATAGTGCTACAAGAATCAAAGATGTACCGTCTCGTCATTTCTAGGGCTGAATTAAACTAAAGGCAAATTAGACAACTGTCCCGTTGTCATAAAAAATATGGAATTTACGTGATTTAGGAAGTTATAAATAGGGTGCGGCCCCTGATACTCGCTTTTGGTAGGGACTTGTACATGGTTTAATCCACATCCGGTCTTAACCTATTGTTAACTATAACACACTAACGCCCTCTTCACCATTCGTAATGGCGTGAACCTACAACGGAAGAGCTCCAGTAACATCGTCTTTGCTGTATTTACTATATTACGTAAACCCTTTGAGTATTCAAACAAAATACTCAAAGCGTAAAGCATATTCAAATTTGAATTTTGTAATATCATTAACCGGTCAGAGAGAACTTACAAATAAATAAGAATAAACATTTATCATTAAATTTTTAAATAAAAGAGACGTTGAAGACCTTGCTTCCACACAAATGAGTTCCATACTCAAAGAAAAAAAACTTGATCCCAGACATATTAAATATGTTTTGTCAAGTACTCTTTTCAATAGATCATACTTTCATATAACTTTGATCATTGATGAACATTTCAATTTTTAACAGACATCAAAAATGTAGAGAGTTAGAGAGTTTCTTAATTCGAGTGTATGTTTTTTTTAAATGTATATATTACGCGATATCTTCGCAGATTGTGAACCGATTTTAATAATCCTTTTTTTATTAGATAGATTTTACTCCTCCTCCCCACGGACCTCCATAGGGTGCTAACGTGTACAAGACAGTCGCCGCATTTTAAACAACATTAATTTAAATTGGTGAAAATAATCAGCAAAGAAAAATAGGAGCGCAGAATCAAGAAGAAGTCGACGCCAGCCAATAATAATTAGCAATCTCCTGCACACCGCTTTTGCCCTGGTACTTTCAAACTTGTCATCAAGTGAAAGGTACTGTGAATTATTGTTGTTTATTTATTCAAATCAGTGCACGCGCAGGAACGTCATCTTTTGTCGTCAAAAACAAAGCCACACCCCTGATTTATATTGGTTTGGGAAAACGCAAAGGCCAGCCAATAATAATTAGCAAACTCCTGCACAACGCTTTTGCCCTGGTACTTTCGAATTGTCGCCAAGTGAAAAGCTACTGTGAAGTTGTTTATTGACTTTATCAAATCAGTGCACGCGCAGGAACGTCATCTTTTGTCGTCAAAAACAAAGCCACACCCTGATTTATATTGGTTTGAGGGAACGCAAAGGCGTGTCCCAACCTGTCCACTCATAGTGGTGTTTAGCGAGCTCAAAGTAAAAATCTTTCGCAGCTTATTATTTCCTGGTACTAAAATGAACAAATTCGACAAATCTTCGTCTGAATCAAATATCTCAAAGCAACTGGAGCATACACCACCTAAATTTGTCACTCAACGCAATAAACGGGGCAGAGAACATGATTATGAATATGATTTTAACACTTTTCGGGAGGAAATAAAATCAATGATTTCTAATTTAATGGCTGTACAGCAGGATGAAATTAAGAAAATTCACCCTACTCTAATGGACATAAGAACTACAAATAGCAATTTACAAATCTCTATAGAATTTCTTGCATCTCAGAATGAGGAACTAAAAAAAGAAAATAGAGCAGTTGGAACTTCAAACAAAGAAAGACAAGGACTATATAACAGTACTAGAGGACAAGATCGAGGATCTACAGCGAGAAAACCGTAAGGCCAACATTGAAATAAAAAATGTTCCGAAAGTGCCTAATGAGTCCAAGGAAGGCTTATTAAAGTTGTTCCTAACTCTATCCAATAACATTGGCTGTAACATTGAAAAAAATGATATAAAAGACATCTACAGAGTACATAGGAAAAGTGACCAGAATAAAAGTCAAGTTATAACGGAGATGACGTCTACTATGCAAAAAACAGAGTTTTTAAAACTAGCCAAAAACTATAATATAAGACACAAAGAAAAACTGTGCACAAAACACTTAGGCTTTACAAAAAATGAGTATGAACCCATTTACGTATCAGAACAACTGACAGCAAGAGGAGCACGCCTACATTTTCTAGCCCGAGATCTTACCAAGTCTAAGAACTACAAGTTCTGCTGGACGTCCTACGGTAAAATATATATCAGGAAAAATGAAAATTCGCCTATTATCGTTATTAAAAATGAAGCTCATGTTAATAGTCTTATGCAAAAGGAGTGACTATTTTATGTTACTAATATAATTAACTTGCAACATTTTTTTTTCTATTTTATCTTTTTGGTAATAAGGCAGATTTTCACAGTCACTATATTACTTATAAAATATGTAATTATAAAGCATGTATTAACATAGTAATCATTGTTGCAATGAATAACTTCACTCATATACACAAATGCACAATAATTTTAAATACACAAACTATATATACCACTAACCAAATAATAAACATTCTTCTCTGCAAAATACTAAGGCATTCGTACAGTTTTTTAATCGGTTTCTTCATTCCACTAATTATAAATATCGAAAAAAATATATTGAATTATGTAAAAATATATCGTAACTTAACAGTCCATGATGAATAATAAACTTCAAACTTTGAAAGAGATAGACAGTAGCGAAACTGCTACCTCTATTTATTGCAATATTGATGAATTACCTAAACACTTAAACTCAAATAATGTAAAATTCACTGTTGTGTCCCAAAATATAAGAAGTGTGTACCGCAACCTTGACGACCTAACCTTAAACTTACTTCAATTTAAATTTAAGGTGGATATAATAATTCTTACCGAGTGTAGAATTCATAGAGATAAACCTTTTCCAAATATTAATAATTACAAAATGTATTCGACGACAAATCACGTGAATCAAAACGACGGGGTAGTCGCATTTATCAAAAATGGCGTTCAAGCCCATGTTAAGGAAATAATATTATCAGACGCTTCCTGTATTCAAATTACTACGGCTTGCTTCGTGATTTTAGGTGTTTATCGATCGCCGGCTAACAATAATGCAGATGCTTTTATTAACTCTATGAACAACCATCTAGAGCTACTTAAATCCCGACGAAATGTTATACTGACAGGTGCTATAAACATAAACATAATTCCAAAAGCATCTGAACAAACATATGAGCGAAACAATAGATGTAATTATCTTAATGTTTTATCCCTTCACGGACTACTTCCTGGACACTACTTACAAACAAGGGAAAATAGCTGCATTGATCACTTTATTATAAAACTTGAAAAAAAGAAGTATTCCGCCTTTACTGCAGTTCTTAACACCACAATAACTGATCACTTCATGATATTCCTATCGATTTCTTGTAATAGAAATCATAATGAGAATAGACTATACAAAACTGTCATAAACTTTGATAAAGCTTATCATAGTTTAGTTTTACAAAATCTTTCAGAGCTAGACAAACAAAGTGACCCTAATACCTTTGCAAACATATTGATTGAAAAGATTCAAACAGCCCTAAAAGAAAACACCAAAATCACCCCCATCACAAGTAATAAACGCCTACTTAAACCGTGGGTAACTGAGGGAATTTTACGCTGCATCCGCGTAAGAAATAATATGCAAAAAAAGCTACGTTGTAATCCATGTGATGAAATTTTAAAAATTACTTATAAAAGGTACAGAAATTTCTGTAACAACCTGGTCAAAAAATTGAAACGTCAGTATTACAAAAAACAACTAATTCTTTCTACGAATAACACAAAATTATTATGGAACACAATTAACGACATAACACAATTTAAGGCTCCAAAAATCCCTAGCTCTGATCTTCTTACCCTAACACAGAATCCTTTACATTCAGTCAACCAGGTAAATAGCTTTTTTTCGGTAATAGGAAAATCTCTCGCCGAAGCCATTATCAATAATGGTAACATCCAAACCTCTACTAACGTAGTTATTGCTGACTTTCAGATGAATTCATTTGTCTTATTAAATACAGATCCAACTGAAGTAGAGAGTACACTTATGTCATTAAATTCAAATAGCGCAACAGGATGGGATAATATTCCGACTAATTTTCTTAAGAAGTCTAAAAATATTGTCGTCATTGCAATTAGTAATTTAATAAACTTAAGCTTCGAAAAGGGTATATTTCCGGAGGCCTTTAAAAAATCTATAATCACACCGGTATATAAGAGTGGTAACAGAGATGAAGTAACTAATTATAGGCCAATATCAGTATTAACGTCAATTTCTAAAATTATGGAAAAAATATTAAATAAAAGACTACTAGGCTATCTTAATAAATATAATTTAATTTCAAAGTCGCAGTATGGTTTTCGACAGGGTTTATCTACTGAAGATGCTGTTGGGGATCTTACTAAATTAATTGTGCAGGAAATTGATAAAAATAAAAAATTTATAACAGTATTTTTGGATCTAAAGAAAGCTTTTGATACAGTCTCCGTACCCATAATGTTAAAAAGACTAGAAAGCATTGGCTTAAGAGATAAAACTTTATCTCTTTTTGGCAGCTATCTTAGAAACAGAAAACAGTCGGTAAAAATTGGAACAACTGTAAGTGAAACTGTAACTGTCAACTATGGAGTCCCACAAGGAAGTGTGATGGGTCCAACTCTATTTTTGATATACATCAATGAACTATGTAATATGAAACTTTACAATGGGCAGATTTTTTCATATGCAGATGACACTGCCATTGTATTTACAGGAAACACATGGGACTCCGTAAGGAAAGCAGCAGAATTAGGCCTTGCTAGGGTTGCAAATTGGCTCAATCAGAATCTACTAACCTTGAATATAACCAAAACTAAATATGTCTGCTTTACTATGTATAACAGCACCCAACCTACACCTGATTTTCATATTAAAAT